ATTTGTGGCCACTGTCCATGTTTCATTAATTTTGTTCCTTAAATAACCCATGATTTAACTAAAATGAGGGAACAAATTAATAAATCGAACGAATTCTTAATTCATGGCCATGAAATCTTTTATTTCCCTTCCCGCATGTTTACCACAGTAAGAGATGCGAAAACAGTGATAAAAAGTGAATGACAATAAAAGAAACCTGCGAAATTAGAGGGTTAGACGGTGAGGATTTAGTAAAAGAAACAATGCCTAAATATTATTGAATTTGTGGAAATTCGTGACCAACCGGCAAACCAGAACAAAGCCGCATAAATGTAGGCTATGGGCTCGAACGGCATCCAAAAGCATGGTTGCGATGTAACATTTTCCAGCTAACCAAATATTCCTCTAATAAACAAAGCTTTTATACCACACTTGTCATAATCAGAGCTTATCATTTGTAAATAAATAATTGCTGGATGCGCTGTGACTGACACTGACAATACGTTTTCCCAGAACATTCAGTGATGTCACTAAACGGTGATGCCACAACTATAAGAGCATCATTCACAAGTTTCTGCATGGACATAGCCTAGGGCACAGGTTTTCAAGCCCTGGAACAAAATGGGATGCTTTAAGGAAAATGAATAGCCTGTGTAAGTAATAGGCCTAAAATAAAAATAACAATTTGTTTTCATTAAAAAAAATATGCGAAATATATCTGGCTTAAATAATTAAGCTAACAGATTTAAAACAGAAGTGTGGCGCGGCGCTCCATAAACAAGATTTTTTATGTTTCAGCTGTTCGATCACGCCAGCACCTCACACACACACACCCCACATATTCTAGCAATTCAAACTTACATCGAAGTACTGGTCACAATACTCACATGATAATGTTTCATGTGATCAACAGTGTGTTTTGCTGCAGCAGCGCCGATGGAAGCGGTTCACTGACTGCGCAGCACAGCCACACGCGCGAGTAACTTTTACACATCCTGTCATGCCGGGCTGCGCATTTTGCAGCATTAAGGTTAACGATTAATCGATTAATTGATCGTTAATTTAAACGACGATCGATCATAGAAATGATCGAAAATTGACATCCCTAATTTGTATGGTTTTGTAATATGTGTCTCATATTTCCTTGTGTGTCATGGTAGATAGGACTCTTATTATACAATTTGATTACAGAAAAACTGTTTTGAACATGGTAATGGATTAAAACATATGTACATGTTCAGTCAATCCATGATAAACCACGTAATTTGACTTGTGATGTTTCTTTGTGTCTGTGTTTATTCAGGCTGCCCCCTGGCACAGTGGTAGGTGGGTGGTGTGGAGCTGGCCTCAGCACCGGGAGAGGCCCCCTCGCCCGCCCCCTCCCAGCGCTGCATGGCTGCAATGGCGCCCGCTCTGACCGACACTCCGGCCGAAGCTCACCGCATACGCTTCAAACTGGCTCCGTCCTCCTCCACCCTCTCCCCGAGTGGTGTGGAGGGAAGCGGTACCGGCAACCACATCCTCGTGTCCAGTAACGGCGCCGTCAAGCGCAAGGCCTCGGAGGAGCGCCCCTCTCGCGGGGCTGGCCCCTGCAAGCCCATCGTTACCTCATATCACTGTTCAGATGTGTCCTCGGCAAAAGAGTCCCTGAAGCTGCAAGGTGTTCTACTGCAGACGCACAACATCCTGCCGAGCCTCATACCACGCAAGCACCAGGCTTTAGAGCTCTCCGAGGAACAGCCAAAGAGCATCATGAGTGCCAGTGGAGGAGGTGGACCATGTGGGCCGCCCACTGTCAACGGCATAGCAAAGAAAGTGACTAAACCGACTGACCGAGACAATGCGGTGACCTTAAATGGTGGCCAACATACCGTCGAGCAGGATTTGTCAAATCAGACTGAAGTTGTCAATTCTACCATGGGACTGACAAGCAACGGTCCTCTACGAGAAGCTGCAGAGCGGCACCAGCTGTCAACGGGTGAGTCTCAGAACTGTCCCAGTAATGAAGCACCTCCTGCAACATCTCCAACCTCCAGCGCACCTTTCACAGAAGACAAAATTTCGGACTGTCCGGCATTAGGCAGTGAAGATATGTTGGCGCTCTCGCTTGCTACCCACCAAGACCCTTTAGGTGGCCTTGGGGCGGAGCTAAGCGACCGTACTCAGCACAGCCAGAGCAGACAAGGGGAGATCGAGGTGCGGCTATGGCGATTACGCAAACGGCTGCAGGTGGTGCAGGCCAAGCAGGTGGAGCGGCATGTGCAACAACAGTTGGGCGGACTACTCAAGAGCACACTGAGTGCTCTGGATGCCAGGCGGCCGAGTGGCCATCACAGCGATGACTCTCTCACCCCTCAGGAGAGGGACGGACTAAGACGTTTCCTGAAGAGTGGATCCATGCCGGCTGAGTTAGAGCGACTGTCCCTGAGCTGCACCACCAACCTGCGATCTGCCGAATGCGCGTTCGATTCCGATGCCACGGAAAGCAGCTCAGGAGGAGAAACTGATGTGGAGGAAGAAGAACTGGCTCGGGTCGACATTGAGCAACGCCACATTCATCTGTGAGTACCAACCTTGATTATTTCTCAAATAATGCAAATCTAGATAGTTCGAGGATGGAGTAATGAGTATGATGGGCAGGGTTCCCACGCGCCCTGGAAAATTGATGGCTAATTTTCCAGTCCTGGAAAACACATGGTAAATGAGAGAAAATTTAAAGTGTCCTGGAAAATCTTGTTGTTTTCCTTACAACTTAAAACAAGGGCTGAGCCTTGTTTTAATACAATCAAATGTCAAAGGATTTTCCTTGAGACCGTGATCCACTTCCTTAAATCCATACGCACTCTTTCTCAGTCAGTTTTTGGGCCTGTTTTCATCCATCCCAACCTCCGGGTAAGAACACAACATCCTTTCGTTGTGTTTTTACATTTATTAGTTTTTTTTTGTACCATTTTTCCAGTATTTATTCTTATTTTTGCAAGGAAAGTAATCCTCTTTTCAAGGAAGATGTAGATAATTGATAAAAGCTTGGCACGAGAAGATGTATAGCTGTGATAAATTCCACTTTTGCCTAATTTTGCTCTACTTGGTGTACATTTAAAAACTCTTTTGCTGCATCATTGTAGTTGGATAGTGTCTCAGTAGAGTGGGGGAACTATGACGTCAGAATCCGGAAGTGTAATTCACCTCAGGTTCCTTCGAGATTTTCCTATGGAGTTTTATTATGGGGTTTTTCAATTAATGAGTAAAATAAAGCTTGTGGTAAACATAACTTGACGATACTTTTGTTTTGTTCTACAATGTAAACTGCACACACTCACAGCCCAAACGTTCTTATCTAGTTGCTTATTAAAAAAATACGTTTTCAAAAATGCATGTAATTTACGTTGTAGAACAAAACGCAAAAGTATCGTCAAGTTATGTTTACCACAAGCTTTATTTTACTCGTTAATTGAAAAACCCCATTATAAAACCCCATAGGAAAATCTCAAAGGAACCTGCGGCGAATTACTCTTCCGGATTCTGACGTCATAGTTCCCCCACTCTATGGCCTGGTGAGTCAGGAAATTATTATTATTATTATTATTTTTTAATCAAATAGCCTAAGACCACTCCATGAGGGGGATAACTTACATTCAGCAGTCAGTCACATGACTATTGCGCAAGGACAAATAGGCTTACTTGCAGATTATGTGACGAGTATAGTGAAGTGTGTGTAGCTTGTTAGTTTGTTTTTTATTTTTGAACTTCACTGTTTGCTTTCCACACATCCATAGTCACCTGTTTTCATGGGTTTTTAGTCCTTTGCTGGTAATGCAACAGAATGCGTTGTGGGATTGAGGACCACATGAGTGCATGTTGTAACTGCATGCAAAGTCTTTCTGTTAATAGGTAGTTGATTTGTCTTGCTGCTTAATCAGCCATTAAAGCCAGTGTCTTGATGAGCCGAGAGGTCACTTGAGTGCAATCTGCAGTACCCAATGATTCATTTGTGCTTGGTTCATGGGTGGTAAACAGGGTTGATTTCCTGAAGTCCCTGTAAGGAGAATGTATTGCTGTATCGGATTCAGTTGCGTTGTTATTGAGATTTTATGTTGTTGTTATTGCTATTTTGTAAATGTTTTTTGTATTGTTTTCCTATCCTCAGACAGATTAAGAGTGCTCATTCGCTGCTAATGATTAACCCAGTTTGCCTCAGTCTTGCTAGTGTCCTTCTGGTACCATGGGCTAGCAGTTAGCTTTCATGTACTTGCACACACCAGCTGGCGGCGTTCATTGTTTCTGTGCTATAATCCTGTTAGCTAGAACTGGTTTAAATGAAAGGGACTCTTTGAACTGGTCGAACATCAGACTTTTGTACCTGTCATACAGCCTTCTGCTGTCAAGGCTCCTCAAGAATTGTGTCTTTTACCCACCCTTATGTCTTTCCAAATTTCTGTGCACCACAAAAGGAGAAATTTTGAATACTGTAGTTGTAAAAGGGGATGTAGGATGCAGTAGTGGTCCATACAACTCGTGCGTTAAGTCTTTAATTGGAATTAGGGCTGAACGATTAATTGCGTTTGCGATAATATTGTGATATGAAAAAACAAAATTTTGCAATCACAGAGGCTGCGATTACACTCGGTCACGTGACACGCGAGAGTAAAGAGGTGTGTTCGACTTGAAGATCGATCGGTGTATGACTAGGGATATGCCGTTATCAAATTTTCATGTTGCGATTAATTGCTAATGCTTTTACGTCATAATACAGTATAACAGGTTTAATAACTTTTTTCTTATAACAAAAATAACTGAACATTTAAATGCAATAAAGCAATACAGAAAAATGTATAAAGTTAAAAGTTTTACACAGATTAAAGTGCAAAAGAACTAAAAAGACCAATAGGTATCACTTTACAATAAGACCTCATTAGTTAACCTTAGTTAATGCATTAACATTCACAATGCGCAATAGCTACATTTGCTACAGACGTTATTAATCTTTGTTAAAAAAATACACGTCTTAGTTCATGTTAGCTCATTAAATAACACAGTTGCAACTTTCGATTTTAACAACGTGTTATTAAATATTGGAATACCTAAGATTAATGAATGTTCAGAAGAATTTTTTATTGGCAGTTTGTTAACTAATGAATTAACTAATGTTAACTAATGAAGCCCTAATGTGTAAAGTGTGACCGAACAATAAAGAATTAAAACACTTTCAAACAATATCTAGGGCATGTTGTAGTCCAGATTAAAATGTAAAAAAAGTTTGAAAATAAAGAGCCTATTAAGTCTAAATATTTAAGTATTTGGCGCTGTGATGAACATCATCATAGCAAATACACAAATCTGAATGGCTGTTTAAATCATTTAAACACTATTCAGAAACAAAGACGCAGCATACAGTGGTGTTGTGCATTTTGACCAGTTGATGGGAAAAATATTCTTAAAATGCATTCAAAATTCTGAATAATTTGTAATATATAATTATTCACGGTATTTAGAAGTGCCCACGATAACAATATCGTGCATATTCATTACCGTGATATATCGCATTACCGAATACCGGCACATGTCTATGTATGACATCAAAGTATGGCGAGAGAAAGCATAAGGAGACATCCGCGCTCTCTTATAGCTCTCGCAGTACTTTGATGACACACACCCATCGGTCTAAGCAGCGCTGCTTCAAGTCGAGTGCGGGCCATCAGCAGAAAAGGAAAAGAAATAAAACGGTAAACAGCCAAATGAAGTAACTTAGAATGGGAGATGGATCGGTTTGTGAAAGGGAAGAGAAAAGCCATAGATGAAGTCGCACAGACCCAGGCAGGTGCTGGTCATTTAAAAGCTAAATGCAGAAAATATGACGAGGCATATCTTGCTCCCGGCTTCACTCACCGTGTCTATACCGGACACTACAGTTGACGCGTCGCGCCGCAACCGCTCTACACTGGACGCGACAAAGCGACCATTGCAAATAATTTTAACTTTGTGTCAGTACGTCATAAATAGAACAAGGCATCAGTTTAATGTTGGGTTTTGTCATGTCGCGCAGCATCCAGTGTAGACAGCGTCACTGATTATAATGGTTCTACTGTATTTTGCCGCTCTCGTCCGGTGTAGACACGGTGTTTAATGTCGTTGGTGAGGAGGAAAGCCTGTGTGTGTC